GTGATCCTCTGACTTTTTGTCTTATGCCACAACAAATTTAGCATGATTACTATTGAAATATTTAAACCATTAGTCATTTTATTATGACATTTTAAGACAATATATATATTCATTGACATTTAGTACTGACATTCAGGGTTCCCAGAGGATATATCTTATTTAAATTGGTGATTCCCTGACTTTTCTTCTTACAGAACCATGAGATTAACGTTTGCAATTTTCAGTGAAACATCTCGACAACTATTGTGACAAATTGTCCTAAAAATTTGGTCCACAATTCATGGTCCCTACAGGATAGAGAATAAAACACTTTGGCGACCTTTAAGCTTTTTATTTAGACTTAATCAGTTCAAAATTTTCCCTAATTCTTTCTTTTATGACGAACATGCAGCACTAGAAACATAATCTTCATCTCTCTTAGCTTTAGTTTTTTGATGCAAACATTCTAATGTGCCTCAGTTCGCTCACTTGCTCAACATCTGACTCTTAGTTTTATCGTTATTGTTCTTCATCTAGGCACAGACACACACTGTAAGTCTTTCCACAACTTCACATATGAGCAAACTTGCATGCCAGCTGACCCAGATATGTGGCAACAGCAAATGATTAATGAAAATACTGGACAGCTCAGAGGAGACGACAGAAACCACAGCACCACAATAGCCACGCTGTAATACTCCTTTAACGTTTTCCTTCAGCCCTTCCCCTTGTTATTCTCGACATCTTTCTTCTCTCCATCTGTTCAGGATGAGAAGGCAGAGGGTTTTGTCAGTCTTCCAGAGTTCAAGATCGACCGGGCCAGCGAATGTCGCAAGAAGTAGTAAGTGCTGCATGGAAACGGGTCTGTTGCATATTTATGTGTATTTACGTCGTGTGCGGTTCCTATGCTCTCCAATGTGTTCTGCTGCGATAAACATCTCCCTCTGTCTCTCTAGTGCTTTCAAAGCTTGCCACCCCAAGGTCAAGAGTTTCTACTTTGCAGCAGATGGAGTGGATGACATGAACAGGTAAAGCAGCGTGTGCTGAACATGGATGAAGGTTATGCAGCGGGGCAAAATCTCAGCTGGGTGCCAAAAGTGCCACCTCTTGTTTACCCTCCGCAAAACACAAATCAAATGTGTTTTTTTTATTCGATGATTTAGAAAAGGGCCTGTTTGTATTTGGGAAGTAATCTGATATTTCCATAGAGGTTCCAGTTTTGACCTGTGAAAATGTCTGCCTGAGATTTTGTTAAAACATCTGCTGCTGTTGCGAAAAGTGACATTTTGTGACCTTAAACTCCACTTTAAAAGAGAGATTGTTATGTAATTGTGTAATTTGCCTTAACAGACACATCACCGCTTCTCTTTGTCAACATTTAAATCTCATATATAATTTTTGCCTTGATAATGTGTTGCACAACATCCAGTTTCTCTTTAGAAGCTGTAAAAAGAAGCTTAGGATTGTTTTATCAGTTTGTTATGTCATAAATTATCTTCATTTTTTGACAGTTGATTATGGAAATGAGTTTGAACTGATGACACATTACTTCTTTTTTTTTGAGAGAGGGATTCTAGCTCTAAAATCTGGTGAAACATATCAGATTTCTATGTGCATTCATAACTCTTTTTGTTTTTATGCAGCCCTACGCCCCAAAATCAGAAACACGTTTGTCCGTCTGAATTTTGTTGCGTAACTCGACCTCCCTGTGGTATGACAGCAGAAGTACTATTATGAACAATTATGGTTCCCAGAGGACACATAATAATTAAATTAGTGATCCCCTGATGTTTTTTTTTTTGTTTGACTTCATTTTTCTTTGCTGCTAATTAGGCAAGGCAGGTTTATTTGTATAGCACAATTCATACCCGAGGTAATTCAAAGTGCTTCACACAAAAGTATAAGAAGACAGATAAAATCAATCCACAGAACATAAAGACAATTATTAATTTATTACATTAAAAGCAAAGAGGCAGATAAAATGGATCCATAGAAACATAAATATAATCATTAAATTAGCAGAAATGATCATGCTAGCAAAGCACAACCGTGACTGTTCATGGTTCCCAGAGGATGAATCACACTTAATTTGGTGATTCTTAGATTTTTTTACATTTTAGTGACAGCTATTGGTACAGCTGCTTTATGATTCAATATAAACATTCAGGGTACCCAGAGGATAACTTCATACTTAAAATAGGGATCCCCTCATCAAATTTTTAGTGAAATATTTTACTAACTATTGGTTATGTTGCCATGAAATTTATTATAAACAAGTCTCCTTTCTTTAAATAGTAACATTTATGGTCCCCAGAGGATAAATCGTCTTTAAATTGGCAATTCTCTGTCTTTCCGTCCATCATGTGATTAACATTTGTGGTTTTTGTGATATACTGTATCTTGTGTAGCTCAAATGACGTATAAAACACGATATATGTCCTAACAATGCTCAGATTGTATCAACACGACAGGCTCTGCCTTTATACCTTTTTCCATTTTGGGTATTAATAACATCAAAAAAAAGGAAATACAATGTTTATTTGAAATCACTATTTGTGGTATAATGTGGTCTATCGGGGCCCCAAACAAGCTGCTGCAGTTTACGAGCTTTTCCTGCTTTACATTTAATTACTAGCTTGTGTGTATAATACAGTAAACGTCGGTGTTGGTTCCTTCTGTTAGGTGGCTGAGTCGTCTCAACATGGCCGCCGTGGGCTACGCAGAGCGAGAGAGGATGCGCCAGGAGCAGGGTGAGGGTTCATTCAGTGACTTGCCGAAGGGCACTGCGGCAGATGGCTGCTGCCTGATGGTGCCTATAGCCACCAAACACACTCATAACTCCGGTTCGTGTTGGACTTACCTCGGTTTTCCAGCACGAAGAAACTTGCTGTTGAGTTTGTGACACAGTTAAGGTTCAGCTAATAATAATGGAAATTTGTTTTTCATATCAGTTGTTGTTGGTTGCAGCCGTACACAGCTTCTGAGATGGGTTAAGACTGCCTTGCCCAAGGTTTTCTGTATGTTAGGTACTTTTAACAGATGAAACTTGGGTTTCTTTACAAGATGGAAGGTGGAGGACATGGTATAGTTCTACTTTAGTGGTCTAAAATCTCCAAGAGTTGAACATTGAATCCAATTATGCAAACCTAAAGGATATGGCGTAAACCTGAGGCTTAGGGTCCCTGGAGGTCTGACCAGGTTTGCCCAGTTTTTAATTCAGCCTTGTTTTCTACCTTCTGTGGAATTGTTTCAGTTCGTACAGTCTATGCGGTGTTCCTGAAGGGATTGATGGATGAATATATAGTTGGTTTGATGGCTGAATAGATGAGTGGATGAATATTCAGATAGATGGGTGACGAGATAAATATGCTTTTTTTTTGGCTTGTTTGATAGAATTTACAAAAAACTCTTTTTCATGTCAAAAGTGAACACGGATTTCTACAAAGTAGTGTCAGTGAATTCAAAATATGAAAGGCAAAATAAGCGATTGCGTAACTATTCACCCCTTTGAAGCCTGTATTCAGCAGATGCACCTTTGGCCGCAATTACAGCAATTACAGACACTGCAATTTTGTCCCATTGTTCTTCGCTAAACTGCTCAAGCTCTGTCAGGTTACACGGGAACGGTGAGTGAACAGCCCTGCTTAAGTCCAGCCACAAACTGTCGACTGAAACACTCCAGAACATTCTCCTTGTTGTCTTCAAACTATTTCTGTGTAACACTTTTGCTTCGAGTCGTTGTCTTGCTGGAAAACAAAGCTTCTCCCAAGTCGCAGTTTTTTTTGCAGACTGCATCAAGTTGTCCTCCAGTGTTCCCCTATAGAGCATCCCCATGCCATGATGCTGCCACCACCATGCTTCATTGTTACCCACCGATATAGCATCTAGTCTGGTGGCCTAAAAGCTCAACTTTGGTCTTCTTGCTTTGTGAGGAAACTCAGGCTTCTGAGTGATTATTTAGGTTGCTTTATGACATATTCAGCCAATGTACAAATTTCTGGTGACTCAAAAAAATGTTTTTTGGCCATCGAGTGCAACGTTTTTTCATGTATTTCAAAAGATATGGTAGTTATTTAGCCACTAGGATGCAATTCAAACTGTCATTGAAGGCCTGTTTTGTAGACTCAAAATAGTCTTATAATCATTTCCAAAGCTGCATATGACTCTATAAATAAATGACACAGTGTACGGTCGATGGAAGGATGGATATCTTGTTTCTGACAGTGCGTGTGTGGGTTTCCAGCAGATTACTGGAGTGAGAGTGAACACGAGGATGACGCCACCTCCAGCCCCAAACAGGACAGTCCCCCACCTCCATATGATACCTACCCACGGCCTCCATCAGTGAGTCACGCACACACACACACACACTGTATTCACGCTCATATCAAACACAGGCTGTGCTCGAAGGCAAAAATCAGACTCAGTGTGCCTCCGCAGTCCATTTTAACAGTTAAATTTATTGCCAATTAAGCCTACAGGGAGTGGCAGGGATACATTTGGTATAATTGTTGCTATAATTGAACCTGGAACTGGTTGCTCCACATTATCTTTGTCTTGGGGCGTATTTTTTTAATTCTAGGATGAAATGAAAAACTGAAACAACAACAGCACCTTGTTAGTCAGGATAATCAGGGTCACCAGACACACAGGCTGCTAAAATGATAATTATAAAGAGTGTTTGGTGTTTCTACAAACACTCTTCTTTGTCTTCCCGCCTCTTACTTACCCTCTCCCACACTTATTTAATCACCAAACTGCCTCCTTGGCAGTCATCGAGCTCCCTCTTCTTTCAAGTGTGTCATTACAGTCGTAACGAGACCGAGCGATCAAATTGACGCCTGCCACGTTTCCGCTCCTCTCTCTCAGATGAGTGCCTACTTGGAAGGCCGGACCACCCGACTGTCTTCCACAGAGACGTCTCGCTCTCGTTCCTCCCAGGAGGACTTCCTGTGCGGCGAGCCCCCCGCGGTGTCCGCCGAGCCGCAGTACCACCCCGGTCCTCTAGGGGGAGGCACCACACACAGCGGGAGGAAACCGGGGGGCAGCAACAGCAGCGACGTGCAATACAGATGTGACACCGTGGAGGTGTGTGTGACCGTGTTAACGCGGAATCACGGGGATTCAGCAGATCCTTGAAAAGTCGGAAAGTAGATTTTTAGCTAACTGGACAGACTATCAGATGTTTTAACTGCATCGAGCTACATTGTTTGAATTAACTTAGAATTTGTTCTGTGAATTTGCATGCTTGCATTCCATATTGCATGCATTGTATCGCATATCCACAAACTGCAAACAGAGAAGAAGGTAGCTAGGTTTGGAAATGCAGGTTGAAGGCAACTGATTGGAGGATGTGAAGTACTGAACAGGTAGCTGTCGTAAGAAGTAGTTTAAAGGCTTTGGAGAAAACGTTTTGAATCTGGATCACTGGGTGTGTCATGTTTTTACTCACTGTGGTATCATTTTTACCTGCAATATAAAGTCCTGTATCTCTATGGAAGCAGCACAGTCCTGGCTAGAAGTGGAGTAAAAAAATGTCAAATGTGTCGTGTGTTTTTGCTGTAACACTGCCTGCAGTTCAGCCCAGTTCGGCCAAAAAGTACTAAAGTTTTTTGTCATGTGACTGGTGGTCGTAGATGAGTCACGAATGGTTTCTCGGTTGCCCCAAAGAGCACAAAATTCGTAGTTTTTTTTGGCCAATTTTTCAATAAGAAATGTTGCACAAAGTGATGAAATGTCACGATTTTAAGCTAAGATTTGGTTCATTTTCACAGCAGACTTGTTTGTTATACCTGATTGATTCAAGGACTGTCGGAAAGTTGAAAATCCAACAATCTTTTCTGTTTTGACAGTTTCTGGCTCTGTTTTTTTAAAAAAAAACATAGCATGCTTTTTAAACCTGCGGACAGATTTTGAAGGCAGACTTAGAATCACACCCTGTAAGATGACTGTTCACAAAAATAAACAATTTGTTCGTGTTACTGTAGAACAATGAATAAACCGACAAAAAACAGACAGCAAGACCTCTACGTCAGATACTGGAGCTGGACCAGCAATTTTAAAGATCCAGGGTGATGAATTTAAATGGCTCTCTTGGCAGAAATGGTGTATAATACTAGTTTTTCAAAGTGTGTAGCAACCCTGAATCAAACCCAATTTCTTCAGCGTTACAAGACCATCAGGTCATCTTTGAAAATGTTGCACAGCTTGTTAAATACTCAAAACAGCTCCGTTTTTCATACACAACATGGCTCCATAAGCTTCAAATATGGTAAATAGTGGACTAGTGTTGGATCATTTTCATTTGCTAAAGACCTGAAGAGGAGAAAAATCGTCACTGATCAAGTCAAACAACTCAGTCGTGCGGTCGAGATAGAAGTTAAACTGTTCCTGGATGTCATCGCAGAAAGGGATCGATTTCTAATCACGGCTGAAAATCCAAGTGAAGACGGCACAGAGGGGATGAGCGGCAGAATAAGTTGAACAAAAGAGAGAGATACGAGCGGAGGAAATTAAACGGACAGCTGATTTACTTCTTACTCGATGGATGTAATCCTTTGCATTTAAAATGGAGCCAAGCCTGCCCCAAGGTCCAAACCTGCACATAGAACTGTGTGAATTTAGCTTTTTCATAGTAGAAATACTGATCTGGGCCCCATACACTGATTCTTTATTTTAAAGCTAAATGGTCAGTGATAGATGTTTCATTGGATGGTCTGTCTCGAGAACAAATGTCTAACTTCCAATAAAATCTTAATGTTTTTGATCGGCACTAATAAGCCAAAATGGAGAGCTATTTACAAGAAGTAATAAAATATGTCTGATGTAGTGCCATATTACTCCTCTGAAGATAAATCTTCTTTCTTGAGGCACTTTTTGAGACACTTTAAGGCTAAAATGTCAGATTTTCACTCAATATATGAGCCACAGTTAAAGGAATCCTGAACTACATTCATTTTACCAACCAGGACTCTTGACTTTAATTGTTGTATAAATTATTTTTGATGGATTTTGTCCCAAGGCTCTAGGAGAGGAGAGAAGTCTGCGTATTTACACATTTGTAGACTGTAATGAATATGTTCGTCTCAAAAGGCTTTTAATTGCATTTATTTATGATTCTTTGAATGAATTTTCCAAAACCCAGTGTATCTATGCAAGGTGTGCCGTCTTGGGAAAGAAGATGATGAAAATAATGCAAAAAAATTAGCATTGCCGCGTCGACTCTAACTTTTTTCTCGAATAAATTATATACCAGGAAGCTGCTGGGAGTAAGATATGAGAAAAACACTTCCACTGTCTGTTTGGTTGTTGCAGTACCGCTCCAGTCCTGCGGGGGGCAGCAGTGAGACGGGGTCCCCGGGTCGCTCTTCGTCATCTCAGAGACGCTCTTGGCAGGACCTGATTGAGACGCCGCTGACCGAAGCCGGACTGCACTACCTGCAAACTGGACCACTCGGTAATGCACGGAGGAAACACGACACTTCACGAAAATAGCCGTTTATTTGTAGCTAATTACTTATTGTTAATTATATGTAACTTATCTTAGGAAAAACATTAAATGCATTTAAAAAGAAACTTCAAATTTAAGCATCGATGTCATTGATTATGACAATTAAGCACGACAGCCCAAATTTTTTTTAAAACTTACTTTCTTGATCGCCCCCTGGTGGCCCGTTGCATTAAACCCCACCCCGCTCCATGTTAGCGGCTATGTCATAAGCTAAGCTAAAACAAATCAAAGTACACCTTCGATATATGGTTTTATTGATGTTGATGTTTGTTCAGGTGTTCATCTTTCAGATCATTTTGTTTCCGATTGCTTATGCGATACAATAAAACCAACAGACAAGCAGCTAGCACTTACTAAACATCTTTTCTGATACCACATCTCATCCCCCCATCACTACCGCACAGACTCTTGTTGGACTAAATTGGATATTAAGGTTTCACTTATGTACAATAGGAAGCGGTGTTGACATGTCATCCATCTCTACCAAAGTCCAAATATCATTTTCTCGAGACACCTTTTTGTGGATTATTACAGGAGCGTTTTCAGGTCCTGCTTAAAGGATGTAATGTTTGCAGAAGTGGCACGACTGCAAGAAAACTAATCTTAAAAACTGAATTTACAGCGCTCAAAACAATTAAAGTAACTGTAGCTGCCTCAGGGTAAGATATGTCTGTGGATGTAATATACGCCTGTATTTGTGTATGAAATCACAGGTTCGCTGTGTTGTGTGGTTGTCCTTGTAGACTTTTCCTCCCTTCCAGTTTATTTAATGATTTCCTTCAGGCAAATTACCACCAAATAATGACAAAAATCAAATCACAATGAGCCCCTCCTGTTTTGATGTGAGTTGACAGATCCGAGCCTGCAGTGTCACTAAAACCAAGACAACTCTACGTCTCTCAGAAACAGTGCCATTGTTATTCTGGACAGCCCACTTCCACACATCGCACTTTCTTCACATTCAACTGGAACTACTTTCCGCTGAAGAAATAGTCCCTGCTGTGTAAAATCTCTCCGCGGTGTCGTCTGTGACTCCCAGCTTCACAGGATGAGGGCTCCTCTGTCTTATAAATCCCATTTTAACTCCTGATTGTCATGATAGCTGATTAGGTTGTGCTGATGTGTAGGTGAGCCTGTATGTGTGCTGTGTGTATTTAATCAGGCTTTGTGGTCGTGTGTTTAGTGTTTTCTCACGACACAAACAACAATTTCTCTCCTTGACAGTGACGTTTAAGCTGAGGGGGAGACTTCTTTAATTAAAATATTGTTATATATTGTGGTAGTAATAGCGTTAGAGACAGTTTCCTATGACTCACTGAATACATATCAGCTAAACACACTAAACTGTAGTGCGTCGTATTGCTCTGTTCAGCCTGAAGTTGCCTATTTACCCTGAATTTTCCCTTCCAGAGGATGCCGTCTTCGCCGAGCCCGGCCCCGGCTGTGGGTCGATGACGGCCGGAGCCGTTTACACGCTTCCTGCTCAGAGGAATGTCCCGTTGCCCATGGCGATGCAGAGGCTGATTCCTATGGCAACCCAGGGAGGGAAACCCCGCAGCTTCACACTGCCACGAGACAGCAACCTACACACACTCCTCACGCCGCCCGCGAAAGAAGAACAGCAAACACACAACGGTGAGTTTAGTCATGTTGTGTGAAACACGTACAGGAACACGGGGAGCTTACAGCTAATCCGTCCACACGTTATTCACCCAGCGTGTTGGAGAGCGAAATAAGGGCAAGAGGGAAAAAATATTCACATATAGAGTGATGTGCAAAAGTGTTAGGCACTAAAGGTGAGGATACTTTGAAAAATAATGCCTGTTATTGATCAATTAACTTCTAGAGTTTGCCTTTCGAGCATTTTTTTTAAGCCTCTGAGGGACACTTCTGCCATCGCTAGGAGGATGTTGGAAAGATTTTCGATTCTGAAGTTGTGATTTGATTTAAAAATTTGCATCTTAGAATTGAATCAGCTGTAACAGATGAACGCCTGGATGCTGCCAAAACATAAAAACTTGTTTGCAAGCAAGTACATAGAAGAAGAAATTCAAATAATTTGGTAAAATACAGATGAAGAAACTGTGGAATTTGTTATCTTAAAGTATAAACTATCAAATAGCAAAAAAAAAAAGATGATTAAAAGAATAAATGGTTGAAGCTGCTAAATGGAGCAGGTTTAAAAATGGGAACGTCCACCACCAATTAAAATCTGCGTAATAAACCCATTTTTATTCAATCCACAGTGTTAATTAACATCCAGTTGAACGAGGTTGTACGTCATTGTAAGGAGGTTATTTCAAGCTGCTTGTCAGGTTGGTTGTTTCCAGCATCTTGGAGAACTTGCTGCTTTTCTTCTGTGGATTCAGACAGCCTCACCGTCTCCTGTCTCTTCATGTAATCCCGGTTTAACGGCGACAGATGCTGATGATTGAACTGATAAAGGGAATTTAGGGCTCTATAGAGTTATACACAGATATTATTATTATACTAACGTTGATGTTTGATGGATGAGAATTAAAGAAGGTGAGTATGTTTTTCATTATTTGTGGGGTTTCTGTTTTATGAAATCTGCCAGAACATTAAAACCACTGATGGATGAAGTGAATAATGTTGATTATCTTATTAAAATAACAACCGGGATACATATCAGACAGCAAGAGAACAGTCAGTTTTTGTACTTGATGTGTTTGAAGCAGGAAAAATGTGCGACATGAGGATCGGAGTGACTTCGAGAAGCAATGATGGCAAGACAACCGGGTCAGAACATCTCCAACATGTCTTTTCTACCAAAAGCAGTCCAATAAATCATTTCAAGAACCTAAGAGAGAGTCCGTGGTGTTGGCTTGACCTCAAAATTCTCCAGATCTCAATTCAATTGAGCATCTTCAAGGTGTGCAGGAAGTTTAACAACTCCCAGGACTTAAAGAATCCATTGCTAACATAGAACAGAACAACTTTAGAGATCTTGCGGAACCCAGGCCTCGACAGGAACTCCAAACCACTTAGCCTGGTGGTTTTAATGTTGTGGCCCATCGGCGAATCTCTCCAGCTGCGCTTCATGAAAGCGAGAGGCACGTTAAATCAATCACTCGGACTTTCTCTGGCTGGTTGTCTTGGTGCTTCGCGGACCGTTCGCCCACGCTGGAAGTCAGACAAAGCCCGTTTTGGCATTGCCTCCTTTTTGAATCTTTATTTACAAGGATGGATGATTTACTTGCTGCTAGCTGTGCCCGGGATTGTTTTGTTGCCATTTCGTCTTTCATTTGCTGTCTTTGTGTCGTGTTATTGTCGCTATTTATCAGAAAATGTAATAAAAAAAGGGGGCAAGAAAGCCAAGTTAGGGTGGATAAGATGTTAAGATCTATTAGATAGCGGGAGTTGCACTTTAGAAGAATGAATTTGAAAATGCAAAGGCAGACGGTATGTGGTGTATTTTTTAAATTCCTGTTATTCCTGTATGCTTAGATATATTGTTTGAAAGCACAAAGCCCTGCAATCTAAATGGTGAAAGATGGCAGCAACAATAGCTCCTTACTTTTTTTCATCAAAGTGTGTGCAAAGCAAACAGTCATTTCCTACCTTTGAATCACTCTGAGCTGCACCGTTGTCGCTCTAAGAGTCAAACAAACAAAATGCTTCCAAGCTTTTAGTCTTTTTTTTTTTCATAAAACCAGGGGGGTGGATGTTAAGGGTTTAAAAGCCTGACGTCTGAATCCTGCAATAATCAAGTCTGGGAAAAAAAATAAAAAAAAATAAAAGCCTCGTCTGACCTTCTCTGTAGCACAGAAGGACATAAAAGATTTTATTTTGCAGATTAATTGTATGAAAGAAGCTGGAACAAGTCAGAGCGTCGATGCAACAGCAGAGAGGAAAAATGTGTCTGAATAACGGCCACCAGAGGAAAAAAAAAAAAAAAAAGAGGCAGTTTTAAGGTGAGGACTTTGACGTCAGTACGTGTGCCAGAT